TGATTTTTCTCTTGCTCTCCACGGTAACTTGTAGCTTAAGCTCTTCGAAATACAAATTTCGTCTTTCTCGCTCTCTCTTTTTCCAGAATTATTGATAATCTTCAAACTTTCAGCTGAGTTAAAGTATCTATCAGACAAAGAGAGCCACTACGTATCAATTATTGTTATAAGTTTTGCGTTAGAGGAAGCAACCTTTGGTTACCCGAACTTTGTTTGTATCGATATCTGACAATGAATGAAACATGTTACCAACATTTGACCCTAGAATACAATAATTGACATTTGAACTGCTTTGAAAAAAAAAMAMAAAAAAAAAAGAAAACCCATCAGCAACACATACGACCTTGAGCTTCGAATAGCTTTGGCATTCAAGCTTCTGTTCATAAGTATTGTTTCTCTTTATCACGTCACTGATAAAAACCTGCCTGGTACATACATATGTATGTATATACAGGTTAATTATTAAATATTAGTTGAAAATGTACCGCTGAATCCACTMTGACTTGGCTTTCCTTCTACTTTCTCTTTGCACTATTTCACAATTCACTCGAAGCTAATTTTAACTCGTCATCAAGCAGACCATATTCATACAAAATAGCTGACGTAAAAGTGGAATACTCGTAGATTCTATATTTCGCTAACTAAGCTTAATACAAAGCAGGAGAGCGGTGCAAATACAATATGTGGATGTGTGTGTGCTTAATGACATTTCAGCTAATTTGACGAATTTTGGTTCAAATGATGGACCAACAATAACACAAATTCAAAATATACGGAGGATGTAAAATGAAATGGTAAGCACAAATATCCATATTTATGTATGTTTGTGCGTTTGTTTACCTAGAAAGGTCAACTCGGAGCCAAATCGCCAAACCAACTCAGCCAAAGTTGTCGAACACAAAGKTGCGGCGACCGAGTACGACTGTGTTGGCAGCTCATCAAGGGATTATGTGCTAAAACAACAAATGCAACAATGACAATAACATCAATACAATGTCTGTCTGCCATATTGAAGCGCAAGTTCATCAACTTGCACTAGTATGCGTGCTCGTGTTTGTGTGAGTGTTGTTTGCTGAATTTCGTTTGCGCCAACCACTCTCGGACAATTACATCAAGTGGCATTTTTAATTTATGTCGCCATTACATTGTACTAATAGTGGCTGTAAATTAACGTCAATATGACATGAGCACACACACACACACACACAAACTCACAGACAGACTGAGTGACAATGGAGCGCACCAAAGTACTGCCAGAAAATTTGGAACAGTTTGTCTGGCCAACAAGTTGCAACTGCTGTCTTATATACATATGTGTGTGCGTATACAYGTATGTATGTATATGTACAGGTGCTTGTGCTCTGCATGTTGCGGTGTGCAGACTCGCGTGTATTGACGTCCTAAACCACACGCCACATCAACGTCACTGTCCCTAGCATCAAAATTGAAATTTCACGTCAATGCAATAGTCAGTCAATGGTAGTTGCGGACAGACAGATTGCCTGYACTCGTACATGTAAACAAAAGTCAAAATACCGTGAGTGTGTGGTCTCGCATGATGCGCTTGGCTGCAATTTTTGGATTTTTCTTTTTACAATTTCACAGTTTTTTTTTATCGAAATATTATAATTTAACTTTGGGAAAAATAACCAACAGGAGTGTCTCTGATTTAGACTCGATGTCGTTCCTTTAACCTTTTTCATTAGTTTTCATTAACCACAACTTCCGATTAAAYCTGAAGGTCCTGCTTTTAGCATGAAAGCTCTTACTATTTTGTTAGGAGTTTGTGTGATCTTACGCGGAARCTGTTCTGAAAGAATAAAATGATGAGCATACAGTTAGTTTACGCCATAATAGTTGTCGATTTAAAAATAATTTGTACAAGTATTTCGTTAAAGAATCGAGTCTCATATATATAATGTACATATGATGAWACCAAACAATAATGAAAGCTCAGATCTACCGAAGCTTCGAAAGTATTTTCAGCCCAGCAATATATCCGTAAATAACTCTGTTATTCSTGTTACTGATATTCAAAGTGCGACGTTTGGAGGGACCTATTTTCCGGTCAAAAAAGGCATTATTGCTGTAAATGKTTTTAAAAGCTTACGCTAGATTACGCTGTTGTTTTGTGAGTTTCAACGTTACCGCATACCAACGAGGTATATGTGGACGGGGAGAAGTCGTTGAAGAAGAGCGCAGTGAGCTTTTCCACGCATAGGTTGAAGCTAGAAGGGGGAGTCTCCTCCGTCAGGCTAAGCCTTTGGCTACCGRATTACTGTAGTGTCTTTCAGGCAGAAGTGGCTGCTATTAAATCATCAGACTCGTTTGAATGCTTGGTCATAGCGGAATATCTGAATAGTCGTTCTAGGTAAGGAGGGGACACTTAACCTGCTCACATCGAAATGCGAACGAGTTGTGTACGCGTTCTCATTTTGCGTTCTCCACTAGAGCTATAAACACTGCGTACATTTAGCAGGCGTTGGTTGAYGAYCAGCCTTTGCGTRAGTTCAAGATCTTTATAGTATAGAATAAAAAGTGGCGATCTTTTGAGCTACTTGCCTTTAGCAAAGTTTCCCTTGCCGTAACTGTAGGAGCTCTTTCTAAACATTCTAAAATAGACATTTTTGCTGTAAGGCTGAAAATCTTGACGAATGCAAATTGTCAAAGTTGAATGGAAGAAAGTGAGGTAGAAACATGTACATAGGCATTTTGCACTCCAATGTCCAGCTTTTGCCAGTCTGAAGTTGAAACATCTCAGCAGTATTATTCTCGGATAAACATAGACGAAATTGGCATTCACCGCTTCAACAGCCGTGTTTCGTCGATATATGAGTATATTTAAGATAATTTTATAGAAGTTTTAGGTACAACAATGGATCGGTTATAAGCTTTTTTATGTTGTCTTGTATTAAAGGGAAAAAGGGTAACGTTAAGTTAAAGCTTCGTGCGTGGGGTCGTTCATCTTACTAGGTGAAACCTAATTCTGGAACATAAAGTAAATGTTGTCTAAGCTTATGATGAGAGTATGGGCGATATCATTATCACGAAGCCTTAATCCAGCCAATAGCTGGCAAGTCCACTTTCTTTCACTTTGCATCAACAACAACACAGAGCTCAACTCTTTAATACGAGAGTATTATGATTCTTTCCTAGCAGTAACAAACGAATTGATTTAGTTGTTAGTGGTCAAGCAATATTTGCATTCCATTATTCTCTGCGCTTTGGTTTATAAATCTCATTTCTTTCGTATATTATTCATTATYTCATTTATCATAACAATAGAATACCGTTACTTTCAAGTGTATACATATATCCACTTTCGTCCTTTACAACAACATCAATGTATTAGTATTGCTAAACCTGTCTAGCTCCTGCCCACCCAGCAGGTAAGCCCTTAAGAACAGACGAAATTCAAGTAGCAGCCGGAAAAGCCATTTGCTGTTGGTCATATGTATTTGTGGTTTCGGATGCTACAAATCAATGTGCTTCGTTGTTTTTGTAATTGCAAATGTTTTGGCTGTGACACCTACACACACATAGACATCCTCGCATGCACTGACATACTCACATGCATTTGTGTGTGGCATAAATCGTCGGTGACTTGAGTTACAACGCGGACYAGTTTCAAATAACAACTAACTGACCGCCAACTGCCAGCCAACCACCAACAACAAYAACAAACGCCAACCAATTGTGTGTGCAATTGAATGTAAATACCGGCGCACAGACATACACACATGCCTATGCAGATGTGTGGGGGTATATATTTTGGGGCGCACCAAAACGCTCAAGTCAATTTGCAACACCGCAAACATACAGTCCACAGCAGACTGGTGCAACATAACCACAGCTCGGTGCAGTCGGTGTGGTGGTGTGAGCGGTGAGCGATAGTCTGACTGTATTCCCCAAATCCGAAGCGACTAAATGGGTTTAGTTTCACTTCAAATGCCTGCTAACGGTAAATGYATGAYGACATCGAAAGTGGTGGCGGGCAAAGGAAGGAAAGCAATTGACTGGGCTGAAAATTTACACTTGAAATTTGTATATGGATATATGGTGTGGGAGCCTGCTCTTATTGTTGTCGTTGTTGTTTAGTATTGTGTTGCACATTGTAGTGTTGTGCCTGCTGCACTCAATTGTGGTCTTGTACTTTATATGCCACATGCGTTATGGACAATTAATTGCGCTCCTACTACATTTATACAACAACAGCAACAAAAACATTGGAGCAACAACATATACACATACACATAGAAACACACATATGTATACTCCACTCACTTGTTGGCCATTTTGCATACATTTGTTGTTGTGTTTGTGTTGTTTTGGGCGCTTKCGTCCTTTGTGGCAATCAATCTATGCCCGYTGGAGCRCATTTTATGCACAAACTCTTGCAAACGGTTGCAAAAGATTTACTATTACTTTGCAGTTTTTATACGCGTATTGCCACAGGCACCCATACATGCACACGCATATGCGGAATTATTTAGTGCTGCRTTGCATTTGATTGTTTGAGCGTCGTTTTTATTGCCAATTTTATATCAATTTTTGTTGGTGCAATTTATGACAATAACAAAATGGTATTTTCAATTGCTCTCGTTTTCTTTTGCAGCCACAACATGCAGCAAAACCACAACAGTAAGCYCGTTGTGCACCAAGGACAAGCGYGCGACAGTATTGGTGTCAAAATGKTACCCCTGCTGGCGATATTCCTTTGTTGTGGACCATTGCTGGCCGCTTCGAGTCTCGACGGTCTTCAAGGGCAGTCTATTAAAGGTGGGTTGCTGGCATTAAGCCTCGATTTGTGGTATATTGTACCCTTATTATACAATTAAAATTATATTTAGAAAATTTGCCAATATATTCAAAGGTCGCAAAAGTTTAACGGGATTTAATTATTTCTATTTTTTATTGTACTTTATCAGAGAAAGAGAAACTACAAACCAAAAACCGCGTATAAATGGTTATACCCGCAATCTTTTCCAGTAATGGCGTTTAGAATTTCAAATAGCTTGAAATATATTGCAGGAGAACCATTCGAATCTTAGAATTTTTATTTCTACCTTTTTCTTTTTAACAATCTCTCTAATTGACTAGGTAATTTTAAACAAAACGTTCACTTCTGTCATCTAAAGGATAACCCCAAACAARGAACTGCASGACACATACTWAAYCTCCTATTTTGARCTATCTSGACGAAGCAGCTAATGGAAAATTTAGACAGATYTACTAAATTTCCGCWAATTAGTTATTTTTAATTTAAGACGAGGTATCCATCAAGTAGATGCGCTGCTGCGAAGTTCACCATTCTTCATAGAGGTGTGCATTTACTCCGATAGTAGAGCTGCAATAATGGCCTTGAGCTCGCTAACGCTCAAGACTGCTCAAGGAACGTTTGACTCTGTAAGTAGCATCAAGCTACTTTATTATCCGATTTATTTGGTTCCAGGCGGGAATCGCTGGAAACTATCCAAGAGCTTGCTAGAGAGATTAGCTTCAACCTATTTTCATCAGATTACCGATGAGCCGGTACGCCGTTGTTATCTTAAGCTCTAGCGTTGGCTCTATGGATCTTTCGTGAACTTGACAAATGCTGGGCAACAACTGAAATTTGTGCGACTGCGAAATCTTTCTGAATTACTTTCCTTTAGCAAAGAGCACATCCCTGCCATGGTAGTACTACGAACACTGCCCAATAGGCCCACCTGGGAAGAGGTTACATGCCTTTTTGAATGCCAATTTTCAAAGCGGTATAGAAGAAGGCAAAGTGGACTCATCTAGGCCCTTGTTCTCAAATTTACAGCCTTTGCCAGACTGTTGTGGAAGCAACCACTCTTTCGGCGAACTAGCCGCCTTAACATATATGTGCCAAATTCCTTCGTCGTTTCYTAAAGGTCTGGTGACCCATATTTAGAGAAACACAAAGATCCAGTGTTCAAAGCCGTCCAAATGAGATTCTGCTTTACGTTTGGTGGGTGGATCCTGCGAGCTTACCCAACCGAAGGTAATGGAAAGAATGACTTTCTCTATGTCAGTGAAACTACAAATTCATATGCRGAATTTTATTTCTCTTAAAATTAGCAATTATACGCTATCAGCAATAAGAGAAAGAGACCAAATATTCAGGATTCCWTTAGACTGTGTGAAAATAGCATGATTTCCCACCCTAAGCACTAGTCTTCATGAAATTATAATCCGCCGCTTTAGGCATTTAGTTACTTCATCAGCGTAAATTCCTTCCAGACCCGTCTTTAGTAGCACACTAACCTAATGTGGCGCGCCACCACTGTGCTGTTCGCTAGCCATGCATTCAAAAACGTTGCATAATTTTTGGCGTTTCATTGCAKTTGCACAAAGCATATTTGTGTTTGTTGCAATCAATATACTTCGCAAAGTGAATAAAATAAAAATTTGTAAAAATATGGAAAACGGTTTGTAAAGTATCCTTAAATTTAAATAAAAAATTTACTCGAACAATTGTAACTGTAAAATGCGCAGAATGGCAAATTAAACAAACGATGCTTGCAACGCGACGCGCATACATTGCAGTGAAACAGCGAAAAACACCGAGTTTTTACACATTCAACTTTTTATTGACTGCCACGAACTAAATGCATTGCAATCAATACGCTTTATTGTTGTTGTAATATGTAAACTACATAATTTTTGCCACACACAATTGAAATGTTATRCTATTTTTATTCGTTAGCAAAAAAGTACCGTTGTTTTCGTAAATATTTTACTGCTTCTGTTTTCTTCTCTTTTTTCCGCTCTCACACACAGATGCTTTCGGCGAATACTCGCTAACGGACATGATCAACGCACAATCGCAGGGCATCGAGTACGAGGAGGCCGACGACAGCTTCCCCTCGTACAAATTCTTACCCACATCCGATGTTAAGACATCGTATCGCGTCCTACTACCCGAAAGACTTTATGAATTCGCCATACTRGTTAAATTTCTGCCGAACAGCCCGAAGGGTGGTTATCTCTTCAGCGTGGTAAACTCCTTCGAGTCTGTGGTGCAGTTGGGTCTACACTTGTCGACGGTCAGCAAGAATTTCTGGAATGTGTCACTGCTCTATACGCAGTCTGATCAGAATTCCGTTAGCCGTAAATTGGTCAGCTACCAATTGCCATATAGGGGTAAGGAGTGGACGACACTTTCATTTCAGGTACTCAGGGACAAGGTGCTCTTCTACTACGATTGCGAACTAAATACGACGACAACGGTCGTACGGGAACCACAGGACTTGGTCTTCGATTCGGCCTCAACTTTGTACTTAGCGCAAGCAGGTCCTAAGTTAAATGGACATTTTGAGGTAAGTGATTTCGGATACGATTTGTTGCTATATTATTTTGTCTTTATTCGCAAATACGCCTTCTGGGAAAGTACACACGGCGGAACCATTTTCCGTGAATGCAGATTTTCACATACAAATTATTTCCTTTGAAATTCTGTGTTTAATCGCCACGTATATTATAAAGAATTTGATAATGGCACTTAGCTTTATGGCTGAATGCCCATATAAAGTTGTGTGTAATGGAAAAATTTCAGAAAAAAGTGTTATTATCTTTAAAACATTTTCCATTATATGATACTGCTCTCTGCCATTATTGTACTGAATACTTATTTGTGCAGAATCAATGATTCGAAATGTGTTCTTTTTTAAAAAAAATTTTGTTACGGAAATTGCCTACAGTAATCTGCMGATATTAATTTAACATTGAATTCCCTTTTGATATTTTGGTAAAATAATCAAGTATACATATAACATTAATTCATATATGCACATATGCACATGACAATATATTTGAGCTTTTTCCGGATCGTTGTCTTTCATTTCAAAAGACTGGGAACACCCTATCACCTGTCTCTTATACACATCTAGATGTGTATAAGAGACAGGCAGATAATATAGGCAGATAAGCTGAAAGGGAAACTAATACATGCTCTGTATGCCTGTCTAATTGGCAGATATGTCCGAAGACTGGGAACACCTTATCAAACCATAGAGAGAAACAAGCAATTAAGGGACAAAAAAAAAAAAAAAAGATTTCCTTGAAACATTATGTCTTAAAAGTGCCAAATAGATTCTCTATTCTAAATTCGAATTCACGATTGAAGCGATTGAAGTCGAATTTCAGTCGTATGATTAGAGAAATGATTATTATATATTGAGGGGGATTTTAATTCTATTGACTAAATGAAAAGGGAAATGATTAATTTTGTATGTTGCAATCTTATATCATTCACCCGACCGATATTTTTAACCGACTCGGATCCGTTCGTACCAATTGCTTCATTAAATCCTTCAATCTTTCCTCTAGTTGTTACATCTCCAGTTCAGTACATGAGCTCTTAAAACATCTGCTTTCATTACTTTGGGTTAACCTTTTACTGGTTTCTGCTCGAACGATCCTTTTGGTTATTAATTTCGTACCGAAATAGTTTTGAATTTTAATTCAATTTTTCAAACATGAAAGTTTTGATTCCTATAATCTTGTTGTATAGTCTTGAATCTTGAATGAAAAATCAAAATGCTTACCTATTTTTTGTCTCAGATGGTTCCTTGCAAATATTTAATCCATATTGAGATTAGTAAAAAATGTATTTTAAATAACCACCTACAGTGTGGTGAGTGCGGTGATACATCATCTCCGCTTACAGCTTTTCACCATGGGCGTTTCCGCTCTCAGAAGCAAAACTATTTGCCCTTAGCAACAGCAGCGACAAAAAAGCCTAAGTGGGTAGAAAGGAAATTACTTAGTTTCGTAGAAAATAATGGGGTAAAAAATTGAGTGAAAGAARGTGAGCGGGAGCAGAGCCTGAGTGAAAAATGAATCAACACATTGGGAGCGAGTATAGGGGTTGTGGCAAAGCGAGGTGAGTTACTCTTCACATAAAGTGTAAGCAATTTCACCACTACACCTCGTTAGGGTGGCGTACGACAGATGGCGCGAAGAGCGTTAACTACTATTCCGGAGCATTTGAGTGAGTTTCATTGGGTCACGCAAGTGAAAGTGGGGAATTGGGTTGTGTTGCAAGTGCGCCCACACATTTTCACCGTGCCCACTCTTCGTTGCGACCTAGGACACTCTTTTGGTGATTGTCCAAATAATGTCTGCTGAATTACGCGCTGAATGAGCGGATTGCAAGTTCCTTTKTTATTGTTTTGGAAGAGCGAATATGCTGAAAGAACGCTTACTTTGCTCATTGTGAGGATGGGTGTACTATCGGGTTGGAATATATCTTCTRTGAGGCTCACWCAAGTTTTTAAGAGCGGCGCTCCGCTTGGTGCTCGGTAAGCAGTTTTCAAACGAGCAAGGCATTCGGCCATCAMGCGAATCCATATGTGTGTTTGTGTGGGGTAAACGCCTRTTAGATGCTTTACTGYCACTCGGCGCGCGCTCACAGGCTCGTGCCGCCGCTCGGTTTACYACTTCTGCTGAGGGCTCGTGTAAATTCCACTTGCTGAACTGAGCTTTAAATGCGAGTGCATGCATTCGTGTTTGCCTGTATATGTGCGCATGTGTGTGTCTGCGTGTACTTGTGAGTTTTCTAAAAAGTTATGCGCCTCAAGTGCGTTTACCTCAGTCGTGTTAGGTGCTGCAACCGGTTAAGATGTGCTAAACGGGAGGCTAACGTCGTCATTGTGTCAAGTGTTCGAGTGTTGCGTTGAGCTGCGTTGCGATTCGCYCGAAACACGGATTCCCTCAGCCATTGGCTATYGTGTGTTACGAGATTTGTTGTTATTGCGCTTTATTTAGCTGTGTGCGTTTGCGTGTATGCATAYGTGTACACACGCTCCTAGTAGCCATGTCAAAGGCGAAATATTGTCGTTGTAGTGTTAGTGTGTGTGTTTTCTTCGAGTGCGCYTATGTGTGGGCGCCGTGCAATATTTTGGTTCTGAAGGCATATAGATGTTGCTGAAGTGTTTGGTGGCAAGTAGATGCTGTGTGTTGTTCGAAATATTATAATTATGATTGTTGCTTCGTAGCAAAAAAAAAAAAAAAGGCAAAGCAAAGCAGATGAAAAAAGTAATTCGAAACAATAGAGCATATATTACTACCACCGTTGTTGTTGCCTTAATTTTGTATGCTTTCCACATATGTGTTGTTGCTTAAGCGCTTAAGTGGATTTTTATTGACTTCCCGACATACGCACACACTCGCACGCACCTAACGACTACTTTACTCTATCAGCCGCACACATACATACTCCCACGTATGTAAGTACAATCGCGCGCGCGGTGCTTCCAACATACAGCGTCGAGGAGATTCTATAAATTTTCCGGAAAAAGTTTTAAATTTACGCGCAAACTTCGGCGTTGCAGCATTTAAGCGTAAACGTTTGTGAAAACCGGTCGATTAAGTACACAGTACAAATGTACGCCTCGTAGCAAGTAGACGACGTTTCAGCAGCAAAAAAAGCAATAAATGTTCGGAGCGAAACGTGAAAGAAATCGAAAAGCGCATGAAACGTCGCGAACGTGTGCAATTAAGTAATCGAAATGAGTTTAAAAATCATTGCGCTGGAAAATTAACGACAGCGCAAACAGACAAATTGGCTGCCACCTGCCTGGCGGCGCAACCGCTCAACTGCCTGCTGCCAGCAGCCAACCGCGCATACTTAATGTGCCGGAGTCAAAAGAATCAAATATTTTCCATTTACTGTTTTACTATGCAATCATTCGCAAAATTACCGCTAAAAAATTATATGAGTAAGCAACAACTGCGCGCAATTAAGTTACATACATACTTATATGCCATAATAGTGTATACGCGGCGCGCAGACACCCATCAATTATAAATACAATAGCTGTAATAGCTTACGCGCCGCCAAAGCAGTGCTATTTAACGCGATTCAATGCGCTCGCAATTACTTATAAATAACACCGTGCAATTTTCCTTAATTAATTAAGCATTAAGAAGGTAAACACTGGTGCGCGCAGCGAAAATGCCAAAGCCACTTAAAAATGCAATTGCAACAAAAAGAAAAACAACGGCAAATACTAATAGCATAAGTGCAAGCACATGTGTGGCATGAAATATGCTTGTTCAATTATGCATTCAAGCAGAGGTGTCGCATCAATGTCCAAGGCAACAACAACTGCATTTTTATGTGAGTAGCAGACGTCGCAGTAGCTGCCGACAGCCTTTTACAAGTGCGCACACAAATAATATGCCTGTGTGCGTGTATGAATCGTAAGTAAGCGTCAGTCAAGCATTAAAGTCAACACAACAAATATGCTGTCAGTAAACAACAACAACACTAGTCAAGTAAAGTGAAGTGACAGAAAAAGGCAAATTGCAAGYAAATAACGCGCACAAAGCAGAGCAAATGAGAAATTTCTGAACAAAAATTAAAACTTAATAACTTTTATGAATTATAGGTTATTAAAAAATATTAAAAATAGTTCAAAAACAACTTTCAAACATTGCAAAAAAATGTAACATTAAAAACAAAAAAAACAATTTAAAAATATTAAGAAATAATAAAAAAAGTGAAACAGATTTAAGAAAGTTTGAAAATTGTAAATAAAAATATAAAATAATTTTGAAATACTAAATTAAAAGTTTAAAAAACATTTAAAGTAAATGTAAAAAATCTTAAAAATTATTAATGAAAAATACTAAAATAGTTTTATTATTAATTTAAATATATAAATCTACTAAAATAATTTTTTAATACAAATGAGACTTACAAAAAAAACTACTTATAAAAAATAACTTGAAAACAACTTTTTAATACTAAAAAATTAAAGTAATATATAATATATTAAAAAATACTGAAAAATGTAAAAAGAAATTAAATAAGAAATCGGAATATATTTAAAAATATACAAAATATAAATGAAAATTGAAAAATAAATTCGTGCTATTAAAAACTGAAAATGAACACCAAACTTCAACATAACAATGCTACGTTATGAAATTTGCTGCACATTAAACCTTTGTCGCGCTGCTTTACAAATAAAAAAAAAACTGTATATAGTGCATCCTGACCGGTTTACCATTACCCAGGGCATAACACCACACTTATGTAAATATCTTTGCTTATGCACACATATGCATATGAAGTTGTTGTACAAATTGTATTCATTGTCCGCGTGCGCTCGCAAATATTTGCACATATTCATATGCAAATGTGTGTGCCAGGGCGTATGAGTAACAAAACCCAGCAAGAGTGTTGACCAAGTGGAAGACTGACTCTGCTACATGCAAGAACAGAGGCATATTTATTTCAATTTATACAATTAAATAACTGCACATACAAACAAGTCTGCATATACATATGTATCATATATGCCGCGTGCCA